TGCTCCAAAGAAGCCACTCAGCAATGTTTGTAGAAGCCAGTCTCTTGACTTTTCACTCTGGGATCCAGTTGTTATCCTATCTGTATTTTCTTTCCTAATCACAGTATTCTTTAAATAGATTTAAATTAAACCTTGACTTGTATGGTGTGGATATTCTTTTTTTTTTAATTTTTATTTCTGAAAGGGTTCTGTAGTATGTAAAAGCCTATCCTGATTATTTTTTCTCCATTTCTGGGTGTGTTGAGAGCCAGTTTAAAAATACAACCTGTGGACTAAAACTATTCAGGTTATAAGTTGCAAAACAGACCAGTTTGTACACACAATGTCCATAACAGATATTTTTTTCCAACACCTTAATTAACTTTTGTCAGTTGCTCTCTAGTTGTTGGGCAGGCACCCTTTCTTGATCTGGAAAAGGTCCTCAGCTGTTGTCCAAACTTCACTCCTACCAAATTCCTGCTCCAGTTGCAGCTGGAAAACGGTTACTATCTGGTTTACAATCCTCTATCACAGGGCTCATGTAAAACAGGTATATTTTCCTATAACTGCAAGTAAGGCTTTTATAAAGCAGTGTGTGTTCATTAGATCCTGTGCAGAGATTCTTGTGATTTATATAAAAATGTAGGGAATCATGCAGGTGCTCACAGGAAAAGTGAAAGTGAAAAACAAAGGAAAGTGAATACAAAGAACCAGGATTCTTTATTCCTATGGCATCAACCACAGTGGTTCTGTCTTGCCATACTTGTCATTCCTGAGTGATCACTGAAAAACAATTCTGTTCAGTTGAGCTGCAACCTTGCATAGTCATACAGTAGTTGTTCCTCCTAAGCTGTTGTTCCTCCTAAGCTGCTGTGAAAGGAAATCATTTAGTTGGCAATGATACAAGGTAAGTTGGGCAATCAACTACTAAGACCTTAATTTTGGGTTACACATACAGAGTTTGTATTCAGCACTAAGCCACAAGGTAAATTGGTTTCTGGTTGATATAGAAACTCAACTAGTTACTGCTATCAGTTGGCTATGAAACAAAGTTTGACAAGATAATGTGAACAAGGTTCTAGATGAGTATTTGTCTTTGGATATATTACATCAAGCAGTTGCAAAAGATGGCTGTACCTACTTGGTCTTTTCTCTGAAGGGTGTCCAAGGGAAGATTAAAGTTCTTCCAGTCTTGGGCCCATGAATGTTCTTGGAACATGGCCAATGTTTTAGTCCATTGATACCAGGTAACTCAAGTTTGGAAAGCTGGATCTCAATTCATGCTGCAAATTGGGAAATTTTAAGTTCTCATTTTATAGATTTTAGTATCAGGTTTATTTATATCCCACCTTTATTATTTAGAGAGAATGACTGTCCCAAAGTCACCCAGCTGGCTTTCATGCCTAAGGCAGGACTAGAATTCAGAGTCTCTGAGTGCCTTAACCACTATGCTATCTCATCTTTCATTTAGAGCAGACATGTCAAACTCATGACGTCACATGACGTATCGGAACTTTTTCCCCATTGCCAGCAATGGGGTGGGTGCAGTTTCCTCATGATGCGTCCGGCCCATGGGCCGGCAGTTTGACATCCTTGATTTAGACTAGGGTCAAGCATTTAAAGGGTACTCAGCATTTCCTCTTTTTATTTTTCCCTACAACAACCCTGTGAGGTAAATATTGAGCTCATCCTGTGAACTGGGGCCTTCATAGTCTTATCCCCTGCATGTATTGCTTTTTGCTTACAGGTAGTCCTTGACTTATGAGCACAATTGAGCCGAAAATTTTTGTTGCTAGGTGAAACATTTGTTAAGTGAATTTTGCCTCATTTTATGACCTTTTGTGCCACAATTAAGTGAATCATTGCAGTTAGTAACATGGTTGTTAAGTGAATCTGGCTTCTCCATTTGCTTGAAGGAGGTCACAAAAGTAGATCACATGACCCCAGACACTGCAATCTTCATAAATATGAGCAGGGCTTTTTTTCTCATAGAACGCCCAGAACGGAGTTCCGGCACCTTTTTTGGATGGAACCTTGTAGGGTAGGCAAGGCGGGTTGTATGACGTGTGTGAGTTCCGGCACCTTTTTTTTTTTTTTTTTAAAGCACTGAATATGAATCAGTTGCTAAGCATTTGAATTTTGATCCTATGACTATGGGAATACTGCAGTGGTTGTAAGTGTGAAAAATGGTCATAAGATCCTTTTTTCAGTGTTGTAACTGAATGGCACTAAATGAACTGTTACAAGTCGAGGACTAACTTTTTCAGTTCTTAATGACCTTTATTTCTGTCAGATAGTTTATTCTTTCCCTGTTAAAAGATAAAGACATTCTTTAAAATAAATGGTATCTGATAGTTTATGGCCATATATTCCCATCTCGTGTGATTCTAAGTTTTAAAGCAATTACTATCTTTGCTCTATCTTCCAAGTCATTCCCTCGGCAGATTCGATCCTTGACCTCAAGGATTTTTCACAGCTATGGTGTTCTTGCGGGTAGAGCAGATTATGAAAATAATAATAATAATAATAATAATAATAATAATAATAATAATAATAAGAATAAGAATAAGAATAAGAATAAGAATAAGAATAAGAATAATAATAAGAGGAAGAGGAAGAGGAAGAGGAAGAGGAAGAGAGGAAGTTGGAAGGGACCTTGGAGGTAATCGAGTCCATGTTGAGGTTGGTCCCTTCCCAAGCTGAAGGAAGACAATAAGGAGGTTGCTGTTTTCACTGTTTATGTACATCAAATCACAGATACCGTATCTAGCAAATCGATGTTGTAGAACTACACATCCCAGCATGCTTTCAAAGTAGAATCCCTCCCGAATCCGGATTTCATCCAATAGCGCAGAGCGTGGCAGAAGGGCGGGGACTTTAGAAAAGGCGTTCAAAGGGAATGCAATTGTAGGTGGCCAGTCTCGGCTGATTGCGTGAGGAACGGCATGGTGGGCTTTTTCATAAACCGGCATTGGGGGAGACTCTCTAAACTTGTTAGATTGGGCTAAATTATCATACTTCGCCGTTTAAATCGCGTTGAAAACTTACTGATAATTTCTATAGTCATTTCTACAGTTTAATTGTTTTAATTATAGTTTTCTTTGGACGATCTACGGTACAAACACTAGGCTACTTGGAAAACTAGGTTTATGAGGGATGGGTCTAGAACTCTAGATCATTCAGCTTTTTGTTCTACGGTAGTAGTTGTGTGAGAGTGAGAGGGGAGGAGAGGACTGAAGATCGTTTAAACTCACAAATTTGATTGTGACTGCTGCCACAAATGTGCATTGTGACTAAAATAAAGCTAGCTTGTAACAGTTGTGGTAAACCCAGTCAATTATGTTTTTATAAACTATGGTTAAAAATTGGTTCAATATGATGTCAACAACTTTAAGGTTCAGTTGGCTTTAAAGATGTACATGTGCAGGATACAGAAAAAGTGAATGGTTTCTCTCCCTAAAAGTTTAGCTTGGATGTTTTCTAGTTAAGCCTTTTCATGCAGAGATCGAAAGAAATACCTAAAAAAAGAAAAATACAGCTTTCAAAATTTTTAGCCACTGCATTCCAATGTATAATGTTGCTTTCACAGTTTTGAAATGAAAAAAAGCACTCATCATACTTGGATCCTTTAATATTTGTTCTTCCAAATTAATAAAATTGTTGGAAAAGATGGCAATCATGTTTCAATCTGATGCAGAGAATGATCAGATAAGGACTGAGGAAGATCTGGATATAAGCCCTTTACTATTTGCTCATATTTTTGCTTTGTAAAATTTTAAAAGTTGATATGTAATACATTAAATAACATCATATAGTTTGATCAATATGCATGCTGTCATGCAGTCGTGTACTGTACCTTCAAAGGAGCATTCACTCTAAATACAGTAGTGTAAACCAAATAATCTATAAACATAAGCAATATGCTTGCTATGACATACGGTAATCTGTCCAGTGAAGATTAGTCTCCTTTGAATGTAATCTGGATTATTGTATAAACTTTGGTGCTATTATTTAATGTGTTTACGGCCCAACTTCTAAAGAAATTTAACACGAATAAACAGTAAAGTACTTATTTAAAGGATTGGGCCTCCTTGTTTGGTAGTTGCTAGCCATCTTGTATCTTCTTGCAGTCTAAAGTCAAGTTCTCTTTGAGGGTGACTTCATGTATGGGAATTTCATGGATATTCGATAGAGGTTTTTTTAAGCAATATTAGGAAGTAATTCACCATTTTCCCCTTAGGGGATTTTTTAGCTTCTGAGCCCTGGGATTTCCTGTGGTCTCCCAATCAAATACTCACCCAACCTAACCTTACTTAGCTTTTCAGTATCAGCCCAAGGCCAGATGTGGGAGTATGAACTTGTCAAATTGGGTTCTGATCACAGCAGAGTAGAATGGAACAATGCAGTGAGATCCAGTATAGCCACACCAGCAATTTAGTATTAATTACAAAAATAGGATACATTCAAGTAGCTATTGTGTTGAAGAGATTTGATAATTGATTCTTTGCTGATTTAAGCATGCGGCAAAGGAATGCAAGAATGTCTTGGGTTTTTTTTTTTGGAAGGTGTTTGACTGAATGCTAAGGAGAAAATGGAACCTTTAAACATCCCAGCCACACCAAGAGCAGAGTTGTTAGCAGGTAACTGTCTAATCCCAATTGGAAAGGCATTTTAGGAGCAAATATTTATTAATGTTTAGTTCTCCATCAATGTTTGCTAATTTTGTCGATTTCATTTCACCCTTCCTTTGGGAAGTCAAGAGCTATGCATGCTGACTGCTCTGTTCTTAGAATAAAGAGATTATTCGTAGCATGTTGAACTTCCACAGGAGTAGTCCTGTTAATCTGTTGTTGCAGAAATATGTACACAAGGTTCACACCTAATATAATCATTCCATTCATAGGGATTTGACTGAGTACAATATGTTATTAAAACCAACTGTTGAGGTTAGTAAGCCATGTTTTAGATGAGCATGTTGTATGAACCCAAACATATTTTGGTTTATTTGGTAAGTCGGGTGAATGCGATGTATGAATCCAGTTGTTAAACACCCCAAGCACAGGAACCTTATGATTCATTGCCTGAATGGAGGTTTGAGTCTGGGTGTCCCTAATCCTCGTCTGACACTACAGCAAGTTGGCTTTCATGCTTGCTGCTTTATAACCACCAACTCTTCCTCCTCTTCTGACAAGAAAAAGGAGTCTCATGGAAGTATCTACATTATAGTAGTTGGGAAGAAAGCTCAGTCTGATTACTGGAAAGCTTGAGGTTATGGTTTGCAGAATGCAGTTACTGTATTCATTCCACATTCCCTTGAGTTGCATTCAGCATTTCATTAATTTCATCTATATAATTTTCCTAACAGCAATACAGAAGTGATTTGTTGTTACCTTTTTAGAGAATATTTTTCAACTGCCCATCTTAACTTTTTAGCTACTATAAGTTTTTTAGTGGACTTCCATCCAACAGCTAACTAAATGCCTAGCATTTTTGGAAAGGGAATCCCTAACATTTGGTAGTGCTGCCATCTGCTGTGCTGTATGCATGAGTGAATGGCTTGCATTCAGGCCTGCCCTTGATTGTGTATTAGTGGCGGAACAGAAATGTGTGGAACAAAATTAATGTCTCTTGATACGAGTAAGTTACCTGGACATTGCTCTTCCCTACTTTGAGTCATTAGAAAACATTTCCTTTCTTAGGACCAACAGAGTTTTATGATTGGGACCCCAACTATGATACTAGTTTTCAATGTCTCTGATTCCTCTTTCTTCTTAGTTATCATAACCCCATTCAATCTTTTTGTATTTTATTTGTCCTTTTCCTTGTAGATGAACAGCGCTTCATGAGCAAGTATATATCTGAGCTGGATTTTTCATCAGCTGAATCTGCATTCAGTCCAGCCCACTTCACGGACTCTTTGGAGCTGCAGGGAAACTTTCATGAGTTAGACAATACTGTCTGCTGGAGTGATAACGTGGATCACTGTATTTCCTACCTCAATAAGGTAGGCATTTTCTGGCCAGAGAAGAATAGGTGTGAAAAGGCATCAAGTCTTCTGAGTGTGGATGTGTTCTTCCACTGCCTTTTCTGCTGTTCATTTGATTATGTCAAGTTCCACAAATAGCAACAATGGACAAAGCTTATCTGTTCATATGTTAGATGCGTTCAGAGAATTTTTAGATACTTTCATCATTTTGCTAGTTACTCTTTTTGTTGGGGAAAACTTTGAAAAACAACAGTAAAAGTTAACACAAACTTGGAAAAAACTTAAAGAATAAAAAGAAAAGGTAGAAGGTACAGAGAACAGAAAATGGTTTTAAAAAATCAAAGCAGAAGCATTTTCCTATGGAAAGAATTCTTTATAATTTAAAATGTTATTTCAAATTTATCTGGACCTTTAGTCTATTTGTAGCTTTCTAACATCAGAATGTCAATCACCCTTTTGCTGTTTATTGAAAAAAAAATGCTTAAACTTGTAGTTAAAACTTCTTCCCTAAAAGATTGAAAGAAACTCACCTGGTACTATAAAACCTGTCAATCCAAAGGTTCGTTATAGCTGAAAAACAATTAACAAGCAATTTCTGAAAGTGATTAGAAAGAAAGTATACAAAGTATTCCAAACACATCAACCACAGTCTGAGCAAGATGGCTCTTTCCGCATCTCCCAGAGTGCTAAATCTACCAGACTTCTACCTTATGGTCACCTTGCAAGGACTTGTGGGCAGCCTTAAGTGCTCTCATCGTCTGGAGTGGAATTAATTATCAAAGAGCCAGTCTACTCGCCAGCTCTTCATTGCCCCATGGTCGTCACTCTGTTTTTCGCAGAGCTGTCTTAATTTTCTTCCCCCAAAGTTCCCCCCTCCAAAGCTACACATTTTCCACGAAGGTAAGCTGCTATGAAGTGTCATTAATTTAAAACCATATGTTAGTTTAGCATAAGCCTCTTGATCTCTGTTGTACTGTCTTACCAAAGTGAGAAAGGCCTCCCCCCCCAGTTGCTGCCTCATTCTGGGAAAAAATGCATTTAGGTTTTGGAATTGTAGGCAGGTTCTAAATTTGTATCCCCAGAAACTCCAAAATTTCTGAATTGGAAGTGTTACATAGCTTTAATAGTTTAAACTGTGCAGCTGCCATGTGCATCCTGATCGTTTGGTGAGATTTTTTTAAAATACTAAGTCTTTTTTATGTAACTTTGGGCAGAAAGTTAATTTCTAAGTGATTGTATCAGCTTACTAACAGAAAAGCTAGACTAAATCATCTACCTGTAAACAGATCTGTTGGTGAGGAACTTCACTCAATTTTACTCCTTAAGTATTTGTAATTTTGGTATTTTGATAATGCTGAGAACAAATCCAGATCTGGTCAATGCTTTAAAGTCTCATAGTAAGCTGATCCCTTAGAGTTGTATTGGTGCTTGGAAAGGGATTGCTTAAAAACAGTGAGAGTAACTTGATCAAAGGACAGCTACAAAATGTGAACAGCTAGCTGAAAAATAACAACCAGAGGAAAATGAAGGGAGCTGAGTAGGCTTTTTGTGCATTTATTAACTCTTTAGGAACTCTGAGGTTCCGTAGGTTGACTTTGGGCTTTTTTATGATGTGAGAAAAACAACTTTAATTGGTGGATTTGGCCTGGTTGGACTACTACATTCAAGCTCATGAAGTTGGAAGCAGAAAACGGTGGATATCTGCTTGACCTAAAAAAATAATGGTTTGTAGTTTCCTTGTGCTTGGACACGAACATATGCTGAGGAGAGAGAGGGGGGAGAGAGAGAGAGAGAGAGAGTCCTGCAATTATAATTTATAAGGAAAAGAAAATCCATTTATATTAAGACCTTAAAAGTGACATTTTTAGATATTAAGTACAAATTACCACACTTCCTTCTCTCTTTCTCTCCCTCTCTCTCTCTTATTTTTGTTTGGTCTGATGTTGAAGCCTTAAAACCTTGAGGCTCCTGTGTCTAATGGAATTCTTGTAACATACACTTGTGTATCATAAAGATACCACCCTGTTTCTCTTATGTATTCTTATGCTAGTTGTTTATTAAGAATGACAAGCATGTCTTTTTAAAAAAAATTAGGAGCCCTGGTCACACAGTGGTTAGAACACAGTATCACAGGCTGACTCTGCCCACAGCCTGGAGTTTGATCCTGACCAGCTCAAGGTTGACTCAGCCTTCCATCCTTCCAGGGTTGGTAAAATGAGGACCCAGATAGTTAGGGGCAATAGGTTGACTCTGTAAGCTGTTTAGAGAGGGCTGTAAAACTCTGTGAAGCAGTATATAAGTCTAAATGCTGTTACTATTACCTCTTCTGTGTTTCAACTATACATTTGCCTAGGAAATGGTAGCACTGGGGTTCCCTGCCCTTTATAAGGATGATGGTTCTGGAGATGGTATTGAGCATGGCTTTGACCTCCTGGAATTGGTTAATGGAGCTTGCAGACTGCTGAATTTGTACCAAAATGCATCAGCCAGGCTGGGTGACGTGGAGACAGAGAAGATGCGATGGGATGAAGAACTGGATTATCTGAGGGGAGAGCAGGGTAAACTCAAGGTCAGAGCTTCCAGATTCTGCAGTATGTGTGGCCTGTATATTAGCTAATGTCAGTAACTAAGAGAAGATGCTTTGGAATCCAAACATTTTTTTTTAAAAAAAAAACCAAGTACCAATGGCAATGAAGCAAAATCCTCCAAGAAAATTTATGGACAATTATTTTGGAATGAACAGGAATTCATCCTTTCAGATAGTCCGCTAACAGTGACAATCATGGAGTATTCCCCAATTTCTTTCATGCCTGCCCAACAGCTACACCAGAGTACCTTTCAATTTAAAACCTTCTAATAATTACCAAAAATAAAAATATACAATATAAATGTGGGTTGCTCAGATGTCCTTTTCATCATAAACTAGTTCTATAAATAGAAGTAGAGTGTATGTTTTTCTCAAACTGTCCATTGCCAATACATAGAGATTGTTGTGTAATATCTTTTCTGATGCTTGCATGCTCTAAAGGGAGGGGATTCATGTGAATATTTGTCATTTCTTAGGTTTCAGAATCTACTGGATTCTTCCGTCTAGGCACAGGGACGGTGGGGGCTTTGAATATTGCTATGGTCCTGTCTACAGTCCCAACCCATGTAATTTTCTAAGCTTGCTGGATAAAGCTATGGATTTACTTGTGACCACAGCATAGGTGAAGAGATAGGTATACTGTAACCCTGAGTAATTAAGGAGATGGACAGTTGCATGAATTCAATTTAAGCCCAGCTTGCTTAAAAGCTCCTTCACTTGCTTGATTACATAGATATTTTCACACCATCCAGCTAACCAGGAAACTCTCTCAAATGCAAAAGTTTTGAAATTTTAGCGTTCCCTGTTTACACAAGTAAAGATATGGTATATACATGGGAGTCACAACAAGAATGTAATTGCCTCCCCCCCCCCAATTTAATTTTACTCATTGCTCCAAAATATTATGAAATAATTTCTTGGGAGTACTTCAGAGAAGTGGATATTCATGCTAGGTTTGCATTAATTATCAAAGTGGCAATAGCAGTGAATTGTGATTATATCTGGTAATCATTGATATAGAGCAGCTGCAGGTTTTGATACATTATTTCCTCTTCCGTTTATCTAAATAAAATTAATGTCATTCAACTGATTAAAACAGGCAGATTTCCATTTCAAAATGCCCATGATTTTTGGGCAACTATATTTTAATTTTGGCAAAGATAGTTATCAAAATCTACCAGTGTTTCATTAAATTAATAATCATCCATGTCACTGGCCCTTTCCATTCTGTTCCTACAATGCAATCAGTACAAAAAAGTGAATATAAGTTTATTGTTGTCCTATATGGAAAAAAAGGAAAAACCAGAGAGAGTGGTATATACAGCAGTATTGATGTATTCACTTCTTCCTGTGTACAGTGTATGTACAATAGATATAGAAAGTTTACACACTCCTCTTAAAATGCCAGGTTTTTTAGATGTAAAAAATCAAATCAAGAAAAATCACTTCAGAATTTTTTCCAATTCTGAGAGTTGAAATCCACCAGTCTTAAAGTTGCCAGGGTTGGAGATCCCTGTTGTATATCATTCCGGCCAAATGGCTGTCCAGTCTCTTAAAATTTTCCAGTGATGGAGCACCCACAACTTCTGAAGACAAGTTGTTCCACTTGTTAATTTTTCTCACTATCAAGACATTTCTCCTTAGTTCTAGGTTGTTTCTCTCCTTGATTAGTTTCCATCCATTGCTTCTTGTCTTGCCTTCAGGTGCTTTGGAGAATAGTTCGACCCCCTCTTCTTTGTGGCAGCCCCTCAAATATTGGAACACTGCTATCGTGTCACCTCCTAGTCCTTCTTTTCATTAGACTAGATATACCCAATTCCTGCAACCATTCTTCATATGTTTTAGCCTCCAGACCCCTAAATCATCTTAGCTGCTCTTCTTTGCACTCTTTCCAGAGTCTCAACATCTTTTTTATATTGTGGTGACCAAAACTGGATGCAATATTCCAAATGTGGTCTTACCAAGGCATTATAAAACGGTACTAACACTTCACGTGATCTTGATTCTATCCCTCTGTTAATGTGGTTGCCTATGTGTGCACACCCTTAAATAAATACTGAATTAAAGCACCTTTTGTTTTTATAATAGCATCCAGTCTTTTGGGGTAGGCATGGCACATCTTTCCCTGGGAATCTTCGGTCCTCTTCCTTGTAAATGTGCTTCAAATCTGTCAGATTGTGAGGGCATCTCCTGTGCACCTTTCAGGTCATCCCATAGATTCAGGTCCACACTCTGGCTGGGCCATTCCGAAACTTTGATCTTCTGGTGAAACCATTCTTTTGTTGATTTGGTGGTATGCTTTGGGTCATTGTTGTGTTGAAAGGTGAAATTCCTCTTCATCTTCAGCATTTTAGTAGAGCACGCATGGTTTTATGCCAAAATTGACTGATATTTCAAATTGTTCATAATTCCCTCTACCTTGCCTAAAGCCCTAAATTCCAGCTGAAGAAAAGCAGCCCCAACAGAGCCACCTATGATGCACACTTATGCAATTACCTTATTGTACATTTTTCATTATTTTCTCCTCCAAAAGATTTCAGTTTGTGTTTCAATTAAATTGTACAACTTATATTAAAGGTGAAAAAAATGCTGAAGTGATCTATCTTGTCTGGTTTTTTTACATCTCAAAAACCCAGCATTTTAACAGAGGTGTATAGAATTTTTGTATCCACTGTATGTTAAAGCATCCTTTCTCCAAGCCTGCAGTTGCTGCTGGTGCTGTGCCTTTTCTCAAGTGAGAATCTCATTCCTAGTAATAACTACACTCATGTCTTAGTTCTGTAATAAAATTATTGAAGTAATTTATATTTGGGGTCAGGGAGGAGACTATAATAATTGATTTAATTCTTTGCTATGATTCCTTCTCTTGTCTGTCCCCCCCACCCTGCCCCCAAAGGAACATGTGGAAGTACTTGAAAGGGAAATTGCAATTGTACAGAATAAGGAACAGCAACTTCAAAGCAAAAACAAACACTTGAATGATATGCTGAAAGAAGAGAAGGAGGAGGTGAGTGAGGGAAGGGAAGAATGATTGAATCAGCCCTTCTAATATTGAAGGTGAAGAGTGTATTGAATGTCTTCTCTCTTGAGTTAACAGAGATGCAGTCTGCTGGGAACTGATGGGCACTTGGGTCACCAAAAAGAATGGGAGCCACACAAAAGCATCTCTGAGGGATGGGCCGGTCAGCCTCCCATAGACTGCTCATCACATCACTGTTGGTCCATCTGGAGCTCAATTATTGCAAGCTGAATTATTGCAAATCCTTCATTTTGAGCCCTACACACAATCTTCTAATTTTTGTTTAATAAAGTCTACCTTATGAATGATTGCTATTGAACATTGTAAGACAGACTTCCTGATCCTGATGAAATGTGTAGAGCCTAGAACAGGGGTCTTCAAACTTGGCCCTTTTATGACTTGTGGACTTCACCTTCTGGGAGTTGGAAGTCCACAAGTCATAAAAGGGCCAAGTTTGAAGACCCCTGGCCTAGAACAATGGGAAGTTCTGGGACTCACAGCCCATCATATCAAACACACAGGTTGAAGAAAATGAGTGTAAGAAAACAGGCTAAAGCAGAAGAAGTGTGCCCAGCAAAAGAATGTGTCATTAAGTTAGGCTTGACTTGACCTGTACACTCACAGTCATAATTCAGATAAATATATACATTGTAAATACTCTTTTGGTCTCTCTCCATAAATATAAATATTGTCAAGACTTTAGTAGCTAAGATTATATCTGTACTAAAAGAATGATGACCTCTCAAGCCATTTTGTGTTTCTTTTCTACAGTAGGAAGAGGAAAATGTGTTGGAGTTATTTGTAAAAAATAATAAAGGTGGGAAACAAAAACAAACAAATGCTGATGGCTTTGATTCATGATTTTGTATATTCATATTCTAATATAATTAGTGATGCATCAATGCATCTAGGCACTGTGCAAATCAGGTAAAAGTAACTTTATCTGAAATATATTAGCTTTAAATTGTATGAGAACACATAATGGTTAGTATAGATTTCAACAGATAACAGTTATAGCAATACTGTAGTACAAAGAAAAAAAACAGAAGAAATTCTTAATTTAAAACTAATAAATAATAAGGACAAGATCAGTTCAAACTGAGGAGGATCAGAAAGTAGGCAGGCACTACTAATAACAGAACATAATAGAATCTGTCTGGAAAATTTTCTAATCTAAGAGATACTTGTGATCAGAAAAAGAGGGGGGAAAGCTTAGGATGGAATTGTTGAGAGTTAATTTTAAAATGCAATATATTATTTTCTATTCCTGAATATTATAGCATGTGGCAAGATTTTTAGGTTTTTGCATTCCTTCTACAGATAAATAATGATTGGCTGATAGTAGCAAATTTACTTGATTCAGTCATGTTGGGCATTAGGTGAATGAGATTTGATTTTAAAGTATTTTAGTTTGAATGTCTACAGTTTTATTTGATAACTTTGTTACTACTCAATAGCTTTAAAATTGCCTACAATTACATTTTAAAACTTCATAGAAATATGCTATCTTGAATAAATAGGTGATGCCTTTTCTTCCTCCTTTACCCATGGTTCCCCCTCCCCTGATACAATGCTTTTTTCATTTGTTTGTTTAATATATCAATGTGGCGTGAAATTTGCCATAGAGCAGTTTATGTCTTATGCTTGTGTATGAGAGAGAAAGAAACTTGGTAGGGGTCTATGAAAGGAAAGACCGCTTGGATTCTGGGATTGCCTCTTGGAAAACTTGAATGTAGTCAGTCAAGGGAGCTGCGGAAACACCCTATCTACTCTCCTAGTTTTGAATATAAGTGTGGTTGTCCCAGCAGATCACCAAGCTCCTCAGTTCTCTGGCTAACCAGAAGAACCAGCATGGTCATGAAATGAAGAGGAAGGAACAAGAACTGCTTCGACTGAAAGACAAGATGAGCCAAATTTTAACTAACAAGACAGACAAGAGAGGAAGTGAGTAGTTACAAGTGGGGGATAAAAAAAAATGGCAGGCCCTTTTATTATTTGTTGTTATATTGGTACCAGAACCATCTGGAAACCCTGACATGGCTCCTGGACCATGGGATACTGATCTTATCTCACTCGTATTCTAAGATGAGCTTGTACTTATCTTTTATATTACAGAAAATAATCAGCTTTTCCTGCTGAAGTCTACACACTGTGTATAACTTTATTGTGCTTCATTCCCCACTCCCCTATTTTGGGGGGAGGTATATGTATATGATCAGACCAGCTTTAATCAGTTATTAATACATTTTCAAGACTAGTACTTGGGAAAAATAGAAATGCAATCAGCTATTCACAAGCCAATCAGAAGACTCAAAGTATTCTTCCCTCCCTTCCCTAAATGCAGAGAGGAAAGTTTTGAGATTTAAATTCAGCAAGAGTATTTGCTAGAAGATGTGATCTTAAGCATATGCATAATTTCTAAAATAATACTGCATAATTAAATAGCAGGTCTCATTTAAAAATAAATGTTCATAATATTATTTTCTTGGATACGTAGCCCAGCTATCAAATGAATGCTAACAGACAGACATTATATTTCAAGTAAAACATAAAACAGTTTATTAAGAACAGTTTATTAGTCAGGAAAGCCCTCGGTTGTATTCTGACAATTGAGAAAACACTAGACAGTCTCTTAACCACTGGCTAGATGAGAAGCAGGCATAATGACAGTTCTGAAATGTTAAACTGGAGAAGTTTTCTTTTGCAATATAAATAGCAGAAATGCAAGGAGCTTTTGCTAACAGAACTTGAACTCAAATATTCACCTTTGATTTGGGGTGTCAAATCTGGGGAAGAAGGCTCAGGAAGCTGAGTGCATTCACTGCTCAGGCATGTGGCTTCCTTTTCCTAGCAATTGAAATCCTCAATGTCCTTCCTCGGATGGACGGCAAGAGGGCCACCTGGAAAACTGGGAGATCCCTGGGCAGGTAAGTTGCTGGCATTTGCCTCCACCTCTTGTTCAGGAAGATGTTGCTGAATTTACCCTACCAAGAGCAGTTAGAAGGATAGAACTTGAGATTGAGGTGGCATGGATATCTGTGGTACAACAAAGTCAAGGTCAATGTGGATTTTAAAAATCATTATGGGAGATGTGCCATACTGAGATTATGGAATATAAACCTAGATTATGCACCCAAACACCTTTGTGGCTTTCAGCATGAGAAGCATTTTATAGAAGAGAACTACATTTATAAAGAAATGGATAGCACTGTATGTATTTGAGATTTTGCTAAGTTTTATCCATCATACATTTTCAACTATATTTTTATAACATTCAAATCTAGGAGTGGTGATTCCTAAGGACCATTCTAGGAGTGTCATGAAACTAGTATGTATGCACAACCCCCGCTATACCTAGGGTGAATTACTAATGATAAAGTAGATGATACTGCTCCAACAGCTGTTATGCAATCAGTTTTGGAAAAAGCTGAATGGAATCAGACCTGGTTAGTACTGGGATGGGAAATTCCACAGCTATAGCTGAACCTGCCAAGTTGGGAAAATCCCAGAAGGCAACAGCAAATGGCTCCCATATAGTTGCCAAGAAAATAACATATATGTATCCATCACCATTTTATTTAAGAGATGATCAGGTACTGAGCTGAACCATGTGATGAAAAAACGCAATAGAATGCTTTAGGAACTTCATTTTTTTTTTGCAAAAATTAATGATTAAAGAACATTTCGCTTTATGCTGGCAATATTCCAGCTGTATATTCTTGTCTTCTATTGTTGTAGAAAGGAGGAAGAGCTCTACCGCATCCAGTTGGCCAAGCAGGAACAACGGGAAGAGGGCCTGGCTTTTGAGAACACCAAACTGAAACAATTGCTGAATGAAGTGACCCAAGACTTGGAAGAGATGCTGGCTACCGATGGGGGCAGTGCCAGAGTAAGGGTGTCATGGGGATACTTCTAGCAGTTGGTAGCTATGCAGGTAGCCCTCAATGTATGACAATAGGGATCAGAAAATTTATTGTTAAGCAAGACATCTCGTGATCATGACTTACAACCTTCCCTACTAACTTACCTATTGGTTTTACTTATTGGAAGCTGGCTGAGAAGGTTGCAAATGGCAAACATGTGACTGCAGGATGCTGTGACTGTCATAAATGTGCAAGAGTTGCCAAGTTCCTGAATCATGATAATGTGACCCTGGGCAAGTACAAGTTATCCGTCACTTTTTCAACACTGTTGTAACTTAAAGCAGTCACATTAATGAATTGTTGTTAAGCAAGGAGTATCTGTTGCTTTTACTTTCTGGCTAATCTCGTTTAATCTTTCTGGTGTTTTTCTTTTCTTTTTTTTGGTCTCAAGGGCACAGAGCAACGTTGTCCCTACAAGTCCTTCCAGGAACAGTGGGGTAGGCTCAGAAATATCATAAAAGCTGTTCATAATCAAGGTACAGTAACTCCCACATCATACCTGTAAGGACCCACCCCACTTTGCATCTTAAGAAGACAGAACTCCTGGAATATTTCTCCCAACAGGCATCTTTATTAAGAGAAAGCTGGACGTAGGCGTTCTAAACAGGACTTGGGGTTGAAAGCTTGCAACTCAAGATTTTAAAAGGGTCCCCCCTTTAGCCACCCCCATCACCCCCTTCTCCCAGAGACAGTCTCAG